ATGAATTTGAAGCAGAATGTAGAATATGTTGGGTTGTCAGAAAAGTCATGACACATTTTTGCAACGAAAAACATAGCAAAAATACATCATGACTTTTCTGACAACCCAATAGTTGCATTAGTTTTACAGAAAGATAAGATAGAAAGATCAGTACTGTTGAGAAAGGTAAGATACTGGGGCCAGATCTTAGAGGGTCTTTAAAGAGAATGACAAGATTATGTTTTAAAATGAGATTTTTTTTGGTGGAAGGTGGGGAGGGATATGAGAACTATTATTTTTATAAAGATGACTCTGGAAATAGTATGTTGGATGTTAGTTGAGGCATATGTAGGAAGGGAATGGGGAGAGGTAGAACACTTTTAATCAAGGAAGGCACACAAGCAAAAGTTGAATTTTAATGAGAAATAGGATGAATTAAGATTTGAACATCTGGAGTTTGGGATTCCATCATGCCCCACAAAAACCTTCCATTGTTTTCTCAGTGTGCAAATGGGTAAACTAATAGTACCTGTGTCATTAGGTTTTTAGGAGAATAACAACGACAATAATAATAGCTAATGCTTACATAGCACATAGGTATGTAATACGCACTGTTCTAAGCACCTTACATATTTCAATTTTGATTTAATCCCTACGTTAGCCCTGAGAAAAGGTACTGTTATCACTTCTGTATTACAGATAAGGAATTTGAGACCCAGAGAGGCTAATTGAATTTTCTGGGTCACGCAGATTGGGTGTGTTGGACTCAGGATTTAAATGCGGGTAGGTATAGTCTCCAGGGTCAGTAGTCTCAACTTCTTCATATTATTGCCTGTGGCTTAGTTCTGCACTTGGCCCATTAAAAGCTGTTAAGCAGCTAGTTGATCTTATCCACATGAAGATGTTAAGCAAGAATTTAGAAATTCAGGTTTGGAATTTAGGCAAACCTAAGTTCCTAGATTGATGGGTCACCTCCATAGGGCTGTTACAGAAAGAGTGAGAGTAGATGAACTTGCCAAGAAGTGGATGTAAAATAAAAAAAAAAAAAGAAGCAGGTACAGCACGTCCTTGAATATGTCACTTCATTATATCTTTGATGAAGAAAAAAGAGTCAATTTCCGGCTGGGGCTGCTGTCTGTGGAGTTTGTACATTCTCCCATGCCTGCGTGGGTTTACTCCAGTCTTCTGGTTTCTTCCCACATCCCAAAGATGTGCATGTGAGGTGAATTGGTGTGTCTACGCTGTCCCAGTCTGAGTGAGTATGGGTGTGCTTGTGCCCTGGGATGGAAGGGCGTCCTGTCCAAGGTGGGTGCCTACCTGGTGCCCTGAGCTGCCCAGATAGGCTCCATCCACCCGTGACCCTGAACAGGAATAAGTGGGTTGGAAAAATCATCTTAATTTTTATCTGTCTTTCTTAAATGTTTGTATAGCTCACATTTATTTCAACGTTTAATATTAGAAGTATTTGGGGTCTTTATTTCAGTTAGTGATGTTTTTGTGACTAGAAATAAACCATAGGAACTTTTGTTTATATCAGTGAGCCTATGGTAAAATGGGTTTCCTTATGCGTCATAGTGCGTACAGTTGCGTTTTCCAAAAACCTGTTGGCAATATTAAGTGAGGACTGACTGTACATAGCTTTCAGGGAATTCTTGACATTTAGACATAGTCAGACCAAAGAAAAGTTATTACAGGAGATAGAACAGGAATGACCAGAGAAGTGGAGGGTGGCGGCGGCAAAGGGGAGAAACCCACCCGACAGAAGTGGATGGCCTGTGCCACCCCGTGCTGCAGACCTATTATAAGGACGGATCTGAGAAGCTGTCCCAGTCCAGCTGCCTGGTCATTTGTGAATCTGGAGAGCAGGGTCAGTAGTACAATAGAGATAAAATCCAGAATGCAGAACTTTTGAGAAATACAGAGAAGATGATGAATTACAAGTGGCCTCGTTAGCCCAGCCTTTCAAGGAATTGAACAAGGAGAGACTTGCTATGATAACTTGGGTTTGAGGCAGATACAGATAGATAGGGTGATATGAAAGAAAGGGATGGAAATGGGTACAAAGTCGGAGAGGAAAGGGCAGCAATAGATTCAAAACCAAGTGGAGAGTGGCAGGTTAGCCTTGAAATCCCTTTGTAAGAGCCTTTCTTCAGATGGGATGGAAAAAGGGATAGGGGAAAATAGAAAAAAAATTGTGATTGGAAGAGATAAGTTGAGTACGTTCACCTCAGGTAGCCTGCATTTTTTTTTTTTTCTTTAGTCTAATGGGGAGGCAGTGAAACAAAATTGATAGACAAGTAACCCAGGCTCCTGCGAGGCAGGCTCTGGGGGTTATTGGTACAGTGGAAAAATTTGAAAGAATGACAGAAGTGTCTCCTCTAAACAACATAAACTGAGACATTTGCCAGGACGTGTCTCCAGGCAGGAAATTAATTCACTGAAGTGGAAAGTAGTGGTACAAAAAAAGAAGAGGAGAGTGAAATGAGACAGAGGAAAGCTTGACTGTATTTAAAGGAGGAATTTTTAGACGAGACTTCATGGTTTGCAGAACAACTTTCCGGGTCGAACATGAGCCCTGTGAGGGGTGAGAAACGGCCTGGTTCCGGAACCACAGGCTGCGTTTGGTTAAAACCGAACTGCTACAGCACCTAGAGCACTGTAAGGAAGGGGAGTTGTCTAACAGAGAATCCTCTGCGTTAAATGCTGCTCCCAGTAAGGATTTCTTTGGTCATCAGTTTAACTAATTATTTCTAGAGGGACCTTGAGTTGGATAGACATTAGGTTGTGATCTTTCAGCAGATTTGTTGTTGTAATAACATTAGGGGGATGGGAGAAAAGAACTGCAGCAGATTAGTAACTAACAGTGTGGTACTGAAAATCAGCACCCTAGGTGGGTCTCCTGGGGGTTGCTTTGAAAGACAATAGTAAGAACTTATTCAAGTGTGTGTAGCATATATACTAGATAGGCATCATATTCTTGAGTTAAATGGTTCTCCATGGGGCCAGCTACATAATTGTGGAGCCCAGTGTAAAATGAAAATGTGTGGTCCCTTCTTCAAAAAGCAGGAAAAAAGTGCTGTCAGTACTACTATAGAAAGCTTTTCCTTTTTGTTGACACAGTCTCCCTCTTGACTCATCATGGTGTTAATTTGTTATTTAACGTCATCCTAAGTGAAGAAAAATTAAAATTATTGGCATGAATTTTACTGTTCATCTTTATATTGTGCAGTATCAGTTTGATATGCAAATATAAGAGCTTTTACCATGTATGCAGAAATCACACTATGTATTTTGTAATTTGCATATGTTTATGTATGCTGTTGTTACAAAAACAGTAGAAACACTGTATAAAACTATTTTTATTTTACTTCTTGATTTGCGCACATTCTCAGTCTTTGGTTTATAGGAGGAAGGACTGGTGTGAGGAAGGACTGAAAGGAAAAAGAAATAGGGCTTTCTCCATCTTTCCATTTCCTTTGGTGCCATGGTTTTCAGCATAAGTGGGTGGCTAATACAGGGAGATAACAGCATTAAGAGAGGATGTGATAAGGATTCCTTGGTTGCTTGTGTTTCTTAGAAAGACCTTGCCTTGTTTCTGCCTGCACAGCAATTTCTGTTTCAAATGGAAAGCATGTCTTAGCGCTGTCAGCACCTATCCAGCTGCTTACTCAGTTGTATTTGTAACACATTTACTTTGCATTAGTCTTGCTGAACTCCCATGCATTATGAATCCACGGAAATCCTGCGCTTGTGGGGCATTGCCAACACTCTGTATGAAGCGGGCAGCAAGGCACGGTGTGGTCACACATATTAACCAGGATCGCCGCTGCTCACAAGCACTCTCCGTTGTCCCATCAGATCTAATTTGCAAACACCAGTTCAGAGTTAAAATTATTCAGAATCTCAAGACGATCATAGCAGAGCATTAAACCAACTGTGGAGCCTTTCTGAGCATGGAATTTGTGACTACAAAAGTCACAAATATGTGAAGGTGGCCCTGTCCTCAGAAGTCAGAGCTCACTTTTAACCCGGAGTTTCCCTCTGGTCTTAAAGACTCACCTTCATTATCCCAGTTGGCAATGGGGCGGGTGCGTGTCTGGTATGCTAGGGACCCTCTCCGGGCCATCGGCACTGTCATTTTTGCCTTTCGGATATATGTTTTAATAGCTCTTTGATTGCCTCTGTTGTTGCCGTGGTTCACATCCCTATCATCTCAGATACAGACCCTGTAGTTGTCTTCTACCTGGACACCTACAGTTAGTATTGTACACCTCCTGGCCGGGCAGATCTTTCAAATAAACCTTGAGTATGAGGCCATCTTGCCTGCTGCAAAGCTTTTTTTGACCTCCTGTGGGCTATAGCTTACAGAAAAGTTCTCATACTGATGGTCCTGGTGGGGAGACCGCCATGGAAACAGGTTTGATTTGACATATATACACAGTATGTATTTTAAGAAATTTAAGCCAATACTCATGGGAGATTTCACCTATTGAAATTCGGATTCTACATAGACATCTGGCTACTCCGGGCTCTTGTTTCCTGGTGCTGGACTGGTGCCCTAAAGAACAGGAGTGAGACTTGGGGAGGAAGATCATATAGGTTTACTTTTAGGGCAGATGGACTCCTTTGCTCTGGTAAAATTGTCACTTTCACTTATGTAAATGTAAAGCCCATATCTACTTGTTGTTCTCAGGGAATGCCTGAAGCAATTCAAAGGCTGATCTTTCAGTCGGAGAAATTAAGTTCTCTACCTTCATAATGTAAATTGATTGTATGCTTTGTAGCAGCCCTTGGTTGCTTTTTCAGGAGGACTATTTCTTAGGTCTCACCTGGCCAGTGTCACTACTGGTCACTTTGAGGTCACTTTGGTATTCTGATCTTGACCTCTTTCTCCAAGTTTGTCTTCCCTGTGCCCTGTGCTTCAGACCAGCCTCTGCACCCCTGGAGTGCCTTAAGTCCACCCAGCCTGTCTCCTTTACCCATCGCTCTGCTCTTTGCTAACCTCCCCCTCTTTCCTCCAGGCCCCCTTAAAGGAGTTCAGGAAACTTTTGCTGAGAGCCTCAGTCAGAACTCAGCCCATGAACTCTGCTAAGCAGGTAAGGAGATTTTTGGAGTATTAAGCGCTCAGGTACCAAATGGGTACAGACTTCAGGCGGTTTTCGAAGGTTCCTTCCAGTCCAGTGATTCTGAGATGTTGCGATGCTTCCCATGCCTGTTTATTGCCACGCATTTGGCATGTAGTTGGTTTTGAAGTTGCAATTTGTGACGGGAACTTTGCTTGTGCTATCTCAGTGAATCACGAGAGCAGCACTAGCATTGTCTCCATTTTACAGATGAGGAAACAAGAGCTTTCTCCAAAACTGACACTCCAAATGGATCATCTCTGGTTTTGCCTTATTTCTTCAAATAGGTTATATACTTGTTGAAAGCCATGACTGCACCTTTGTTGTCAGGCCCTGTTACCCAGCAGGGACCCAGTAATGTTTATGTGGAAAAGAAATGGTTCACTCGACCGATATGTGTTGAGTCCTAGACAAGGCTCTGTGGGGACGCAGAGGAGGCTCAGTCAGAAAAGATGGGTGTGCATCAGTTATATTATAAGACACACTTTCTAACTGTGCACAGCTACAATATGGAGTTTTGGATCTTGGGCTTTGGAGTTAGATGGGGCTATAGCTATGTCTCCTTTTCATTTGTAAAATGGGGCCAATACTAGTATGTACTTGGTAGTGTGGTTTTCAGCCAGGGTGATTTTGCCCTGGAGGCGTCATTTAGCAATGTCAGGAAACATTTTCTTTTGTTTCACAACTTGGGGTGGAGGGAGGACTGACATTTGTGAGTAGAGTCCAGGGATGCTGCTAAACACCCTGCAGTACATGGGATGGCCCCCATAGCAGAGTCATGCAGCCCAAAAAGTAGTGCCAAAGTTGAGAAGCCCTGCCTTGTAAGGTTGTGAAGAAGTAAACAAGGTAATGAATGCAATGAGTTTGGCCCAGTTAACTGTTAACGCTAAGAAAACCATCTGAAAGATTGCAAAATCCGCTTTTGAGAGGGTTGACCCCAAAAGACTTAATTTTAGCAGTATCTGTGGTGCTTGCCAAGGAAAAGCCTTATGCTAAGCATTGCATGCTCTCCTGTTTAGAAGTGGTGACAGACTCACTGGAGGGTGTTTGTGTGTGTTACACTGTGTACTAACATGAGCTGGCATGGATTTATCAGAGCTGTAAAAACAATTATTAATTTTTTAGGGTGTTCCTGGTAAACTTCCTGCTTGTTTAATTAGTTTGTTCTGTGGAGTTAATTTTGGTGTGTGGATTTAAATCCTCTGATGGAGAATGTTTTGGTTAGTGAATTTCTGAAATATCTTTTGATAAGTGGGACATGAGCAGTTTTTGTTTTCAGATCAAGAACGCTGATGTTTTTTTAGCCCGAGATTTAGAACAATGCGCCTTTCCCCTTGCTTAGTGCCTCACCTGCCTATTGCACAGTGTTTTGGTATTTGTGGGAGTGGCTTGGAGAGCTGTTGGATTTCCATCTGTTGTTTATTGTAGATTTGCGGTTGAGATTATTTAAATTTTTTTGTAATTATAAATGTAATATGTGCACCATATAGAATATATGAGTAATATAGAAAAAAACACAAAGACAGTAAAAAAAAAAAGTCATCAGTAATCCTGCACAAATGTACAAATACTGTTGGTGTGTTTCATTTTTTTCATTCATATTTTTTCCATACTCGAAATATTCTGAGTATATGATTTTGTGTCCTATTTTAAAAAATTAACGTATTTTATTTGCCTTACCCCACACTACTAAAATATCTGTAAATATTATTTCTAGGACTGTAAATTTATTCCATTTATGGCTGTTTCATGATTTATTTAATCCCATTTCAGAGCAGACAGCCTGTTTTTAATAATTGATAAATATATTTATGCAGTCAGCATTTTCTGTATTTTAGATTATCGTTTACAATGGATGGTCAAAACGTAGAATCAAAGGGTGTGGACATGTGTGGCTATCTCAGTTGATATTGCTATCAATTGCTAAGTTTTTACTAAATTTGCTGCCATTAGCAGAGTGATATTTTAATAATATTTGATAATTTTCCAGGAGTATTTCTTTTTTTTTCTTTTTTCTTTGATATTAATGCGATCATTCATGTTTATATGACTTGGCTATATTTCCTATTTAACAAGCTATGTACTTTGCCCCGTTTATCTATTGGAAGTTAGAATTTTTCTTATTTGTCATAGTTTATCTATTTCACTTATTAACCCTTATTAACCCTCTCATAGTTATTGCAAATATTTTCAACTAGTTTTTATTTCCCTAATTTTTGTCTGTCTTTTAATTTTGTTTTTAGTCATATAGAAGTTTAAAATTTTTATGTAGTCCACTCTATTGCTATTCTTTTCCACCTGGCGTCTTTGACCTTCCTTTGTTTATACTGAAATGAACCCTTTCTGCTCTGAAAGTCACTCTACTGTTTCATCAGTGTTTAAATTTCTATCCCAAAGTGACCACTATAGAGTTTCCTAATTGAGGATAAATGGGCCTCAAGTGCTTATTCTAATATGGACACCTACTATATAACAGAAAAATCTTGTGTGTATGTGTGGGGTGTGTGTGTGTGTGTGTGTGTGTGTGAGAGAGAGAGAGAGAGAGAGAGAGAGAGAGAGAGAGAGAGAGAGAGAAAGAGAGAGGGAAAGAGAGAGAGAGAGAGACAGAGACAGAGACAGAGAGAGAGAAGGGAAAATTGATGAGAAAGGATGATGCTCTTGTTGGACCAAGGCTCCTTTGATTTTGTTTTGTATTTACTTTTCCTTAGGGTGGAAATGAGCTTACTGAAGGCAGCAGGGCTTTCCTAGATTCCCAAAGTGGCTGAGGATCTGGGACCAGCAGCTGGAGCAGACTGTGGCTATGTCTGGTACAGAGCTGCCCCACAACATTTAAAAAAAATTTGTTTAGTGCATGAGAAGGTAGGCTGAGCAGACTGTGGCCACATCCCCTCCACTCCTCACCTTTTTCTCTTAGGCTTCAGGCTGAGCCTCGTCAGGTAACTCTCCGCTCTGGATGGACCCACAGGAGCCCACAGCCTTCTGTTGCAGTTCTCCAGCTGCATTAGCCACAAAGCTTGCGAGGGAGGTAACAATAACAGCTAGTGCTTATCTGTTTTGCAAAGCCCTTTCACTGGGGCCTTTTTATATGCTTCTCACCACAACTTTATGAGGTTAAATACTATTTTCATCTCCATTAATTTGGAGGAAACCATCACTCAATAGATGCATAATTAAAATCTACAGCTTCTGACTCCAGATCCTCTCTACTTATGAAACAATTCTATCATTGTAATTTCTGGTTGTAATTTTTTTTGTGGTGCTATTGGGCAGAGGGTAGCAGCAAATGTTTTAGGTTTTGGAGTCAGACATGTCTTGGATGGAATCCCAACATATTCATGTTTTAACTTTGTGATTTAGTTACGTACCCAACCTGAGTCTTAGTTTCCTCACGTGTAAGATGGGAACAACAATGTTTACCTTGTAGGAATAATAGAAAGATTAAATTGAGATAATACATTCAAGGTGACTAGCACAGTACCTGGTTCATTCATTGTAGGAGCTCAGTAATGATTGTTTCCTGGTCTCAAAGCTGAAAATGCTGCTGTTCTTTTTTGTTTAAAAACTTTAGAATAACTGGTAAAGCTGCTCAGACTCATGAAATTTTAGTAAATATTATGCATATTTAAATGCAAGAAATATTTCTTTATCTCACCTACTTATTTTTCTGTTTGGTAGTTTTTCTTTCTGTTGTGGATGTCACCTGCTTCTCCGAAATCTTTCCACTTGGAGAATTTTGTGATGAATCCCTCAGTTTAGGACTGTTCTCACAGTGAAAATAAAACATGTTTTGTCTATGTGTTTGTGTAAATACCACACACAGCTCTTTGGAAGGGCAATAACCCAGTCATTTCTTTACAGGTAGTTGATACTTTTTTTTTTTTTTAAAGATTTTTATTGGGGAATTAGGGGGATGGGAACAGTGCTAGGGAATTGGGGGAAGGGGCACAGATAAGTTGCTGTCGGTTTGTTCTTCAGTCTAGTGGAGGACGTTGCTTCACTGGCCCAAGTTGGCACCATCATCACGCTCTTCCCGGGAGAGGCAGATCAGTCGCTGGCTTCTGGACGGCCGCTCACTGTGGCTGCTGGTTGCTCACGCTGGCTGCTGGCTACACACGGTAGCCCATGGCAACCCACTGCCACAGGGGCTGCAGCCTACGCCATCGCCGGCGACTCACGGCAGCCCAGCTCCAGGTTGAGCTGTTGTTCAGCATCTTAGCTGTGGAGGGCAGTGTCACTGAACCTCATATGTGGGATCCGAACCGGGGCCCTCTGGCATCCCAAGCGAGTTCTTAACCATCGCGCCACTTGGCCGGCCCTCCCTCTTCTGTTTTAGAGTTCAAGGATCAAAGTGAATGAACTGTTGGCCAAATCTTGTGACTATTGCAGACTGAGTGTAGGTCACTATGGAATGTCACACCCAATTTTAATGGTCAGTAGGCAATTGTTTTCCTAAAATTCTAGGCTCATTATTTGGCTTCTTAATTTTCAGCCAAAGTGGACATTTGGGGCGGGGGTGGGGGAGAGGTGGTAGTGGTGATATTGGTAAAGAGAGTAGATGAAGTCTGGAAGAATAAAATTGGTGCTGATTTGACTACTGATTTACAGGATCCAAAGGACTAGAGACTATGTTTTGTGATCCTGAGATACCAATCCAGTCGAGCAGCCCAGTGCCCATCACTTCAGCCAAGTTGTGTTGGCAACAGCCCTTTGAAACAAAGCCTGAGAACCCAGCAAGTTTTACCAAGCATTTCTTGTTGCTGGCTGGTTGGCTTATGGAGTAAATGAGTAATTAGCTCTCATTAGCACTCCCACAAGCTGTAATACATCCACTTGAGGCACAGAGATGCTTGCTTCTGTTACCGAAACCATGAAAATCCCCATCTGATCTCTGCTGTCCAAGCATTTTCGCATTGCAGAAACAAAATGCCAACTTGGCAAGAGTGAAATCCACCAAGTGCTTCAAATAACAGTAG